AAATGCTATTAGCTCTTACATATTTTCATAATAAAAGTTCATTATTTATTGCCCAGTTGCACGGCCGTCCAATTACTCATGCTGACAATCGACAAATCTAACATGCTTTATTCATCAGGACAATTACCTAATTTTTGGAAAGAAAACCCAACAGTACAACATGTAAAATGAGGAAATATGCTTATTTTTATTCATGAGGTAGGCGTGCTGCCCAATTAACCAAAGAGGGGATGCGCGCCGTCCAATTAATTACCTCAAAACTTAAACTGCGACCAATAGAATCAACAAGCAAACAGCGGGTCGTCTGTTTTAAGCCAGGTTTACAATTAAATCCGATGATTTATGCAGCAACCAGTATTTATATCAGCTACAGCGAGAATCGTATACATTCCATGGACGGTATGAATATTAATATGGATAATTTATGAGCATATGTAGCCTTGTTGTACTGTTGGAGTTGTTTTAATCAATTGCTTTCAAGGATCTTCGTTGTTATTTTCAATTTTACTCAGGCTTATAAATTGCCTACTTTATTCGGTTTTTGTTCGGGGAAATATTTCCCGACCGATAGAGACAAAATCCCCTAGAAGCTCGCAACTGGGAGAATGCTCAAACCCTTATAAAACCTCCCATTTGAGGCCCTAAACTAATTTCAAACCGACTGTTTGCTGAACGGAAATTTAATCAGTCACCAAATCAATAGCTCTTCATGTATGCATAATCAGAATGTAATCAACATTCCGGAAATCAACTAAATTAATTTTACCAAATGCCTATGTCCAGTACAAAGGCCTACATCATTTTCAATAAATTAAACTAGACAAAAATTTCATTGTGAAAACACTCAGATGTTTGGGGATGATCGAGCAATTAAGCCACAATCAGTTCTGGCAAACTTCCCTGTCACATCTGAGTGGAAGTTAACAGCCCCTGAAGAATTAATGCACCGCCAAAAAAAACTTTTAATTCGCCTTTCGTGCAAAAAATAATTTATCAAATTCACTCTGCTACCTGCCAATCATTAGTAGCCGGGCAGGTTAATCGATTTTGCTCCTTCTAAACGATCGGAAAAAAGTTCCCGAAGGAGAAAATTAAATTTGGAAATTAGCCACACGACTGGCAAAAGACGATTAAGTGAAAAATAAGAAAAAGTTCCTTAGGTGTTCAAAGTGCCTTTTCGGAAAAAGTAATTTAAGTTTAATGTAAACGAGGCAGCTATCAATTATGCGGCGGTAGGAAATTGATATTTGGCAGATCGCTGGAAAGGTCGCGAATTTCGATAAGATGGGAAATGAAACCCGGAAATACAAAAGGTCGCATTTTCTTCAGAACATATTTAATTGTCGCTGCCAAATTGGCAATGGTCATAATTGATCTAACATGAGAACTGCATAACGCAAGTAATTAAAGAGCTGAGTCATAAAGTAGCTTTTCTGACCTTTTTTCGCATGGGCCGACTTTTTAATAAGCATCAATTGATGACTAACGGAGTTCGTTAACAGGAGGTAAAGGAAGCCTCTGAGGTTAATTGGTTTATTATCGCTTGTCTGCAGCTTAACTTTTTAATGGGACATTTGATCTCAGATTTAATGGGGCACAAATTTTGATTTGGGCGTGCCACAGCTGTTGGTCGACATTAATGAAATAAAAAAATTGATTTTTTATTTTCTACCGCCTAGAATATGCAAACTGAATTTAAATAGATATTCACTGAATGAACCAATGGGATTTAAATGAAAAGAAGCAGCAAAACAGGCTGTAGCTTTTTAAAATCGTCGCTTAGAGCAAACACCAAGAACATTTATGCCAATTAACAAAGGAACTTTTAAATTTCTCCATAAACAAGCTGTGTTAACGCAGAAAACTTCAAATTTTGCTTCACTAATGCCCCATCAGAAAGTTGTCTATTTTGGAATTAAACATCCGTAGGTGCTTAACAGTAGTCGAACCCTCGTTTCACTCTGACCTTTCAGGAACATTTAAGTGTTGTTTTCTTCTCATTTCCAGTTCGAATAACAGAAACCTAGTAAAAAACCCATGTTTTTACGAGGGGGTTAAAGCAACTGAAATAAGGAGAAAAGGAAATGTGTTTGCTAAATAAGTTTTCTGGAATTTCTCAATCAAGTGATATTTTGATCAAATTTTCGACGACAGAAAAAAATTGCTTTAGGCGCGATGTGAATGATTTTTTTGGGAGTTTTGGCAATGTTTCGCTCCTTCGCTATCATAAATTCCAAAAATTTCCGCTCCGCACCATTGCAAATTCGCCGTGGTACGTAACAAATCATGACATACAGAAGGATTTGCAAGTAAAAAACAGTGAAAAAGTAAATAAAATCGCATAGTGAGAAATATAAAAATAGAATAAGTAACCAGTTAAGCAAGCTGGCTACGAATCTCCTTGTAAATAACCAAATTCAACGTACACTAAAACGATATCATCGGTGGGATCTTTAAGATAGATTTGTGTAAATTCCATCGGGTAAATTTTCCATTATAATGTAAATTGTTATAAGAAATGATTTATAGAGGCTAAGTAATTTAAATCCAAACCATTTACTAAATATTAGTCTATGAAGGCTTTCACGGCCGGTCAAATCACATATAGAAATGGTTTTCGGGCTTCAAAGCCGTGGTCCATGGGACTGTTTTCCTGACGTTTCGTCCACAACTGCGGTGGACATTATCAAAGGCGACTGGAAAACCTTCGTAAGAAGAAAGCGCATCTCCTGAGTTTACTGGCTTTTTTCTGCGTTGCCGTGAAACGAAAAAAATTCTATGGATTGCGGAAGTTTGAAGTCGCTGCTTGCTTGTTTGCTTAGTTTGGAAAGTATGAAGTTTTCAGACAGAAAATGCAATTGTACTGGAGCGTTATCTTTTCCCAACATTTACCAAATCTTCAAAAATCAGGTTTAACTTCGATTTAAATGAAATTTTAAAGATTTTTTGCGAAAGTGTGTCCTATACACTGCGAAATCGCCAATATCTACTTGCTTTCGGTGTAAATAAGGATTTTCTCAAGCAGATGACGCAATTTGTCTTGAAAGTTTATTTCAAACCCAACTTTTCAAAGTCGGCAAAAATCAGGCTGTCTTCCAACTTCAATGATAATGATATTTACGCTCAAGTGTTCTCTATAGATTATGAAAGCTTCAAGTGGCTACTTGTGTTATATTGGAAAACACGAATTTTTGAATGAGAAGATGCAATTGTGTTAGAACGTTAATTTTTGTCCTACATTTACTAAGCCGGCACAAATCAGGTTTTACTGTGATTTAAATTAAATTTTCAGAAGTTTTTTACCAAAGTTTATCCAATTGATTATGAAAGTTTCTAGTCACTACTTGACTTGAACAAAAAAATATTGATTTTTCGAACCGATAATGCAATTGTGCGGAACGTTTATTTCTGGCCCATTTTACATAGTCGGAGAAAATCAGGTTTATTTGCCATTTGAATGAAATTTTCAAAGAGTTTACGCTCAAAGGTTTCCTATCGAATGTGAAAGGTTCAACACGCTACTCCTTTCACCTTGGAAAGTGTGACTTTTTCAGGCAGAAAAAGTAATTATGCTGGATAAAATTTTTGTTCAACTTTTACCCTGTCCGAAAACTCAAGTGTCTTCTATCCGTTGGGCACGATCCAAGCAGCTACTTTATTTATATTAGGAATTAGGATTTTTTTAAGCAGGAGACGCAATCGTAGCAGTGGGTCAGTGGGATAGCCCAAGCACGATGGCAGAACATACATCAATAATTCGAACATTCCACATATTATTAACGTCCAGTAAATAACAAGGCATAATGAACAATAAGCAACTGGATATTTTATAAAGAGAAAATCGGTTCTTGAATAATATATATTTCAATTTTCCAAATTACACGTTTGCGCCTTTGCTGTACAGTTTAAAAATTTACAATTTCAAGGAAAATCGATTATTGGTATCTAATTTGCTTCCAAACTTGTTCTAATTTATGGGGTTTATTCAAAATTATCAGCAGTTTTTATTTTTTAATCATTCTTCAACTGATTTGTTTATGAAAATGAAATTAGTAGTTTTATTTCTGCAAGAGTGGTGTTGCGATAATAAGGATATTGATATGTATGCTTGTCAAAAAAGAATAAATATGTGTCCAACATTCAATCATCAATTAAAATTTAAAAAATACACGTTTGACAAAGAACCTTCTGAGCAAACAGCAAGCAGATCGTTTCATTAAAGTATGTGCAAAAAATGAAATGTAAGATATTTTTATTGGCACCGACTGTTTAAAATATTTTACTAAATTTGAAAAATTGCATTCATGGATTTTATAAGCTAAAAATGTCTACAAGTGTAAAGCAACATTATTGCATGATTTGCGATTTACGATTGTGCAAATATTCCGAGTTTCAGAGCAAATTATTTTGATGAAACAAATTTTCTCTTCAGTCTTTTTAGAAGGGCGACACCAATTTCTGATCACATTATATATTGAAATTCTGATCGAATTACACAGCGGGCAAGTTCCTTTGACAAAATAAGGGATTTAGTTATCTAAAATCTAAATGGTAAACTTTTTTAACTAGTTAAGTAACTTGCTGGTTTAACTGATTTATTTGTCGTGCCAAAATCTACTTCACCCCTTAATAAAGTGTGTGTCATACAATTCAAATTATGAGGCCAATTGGAGTAAAGCATTTTAAGTCCCAGAAAGTTAATTTTAAATAATCAGAAGATTATTTAGTGACTCAAAACTATTACCTTCATAAAACCGCCCCGCCCACAACGCTCAAAGTTCTCTTTATAAATTTTTGAAACACTTTCGTTTTCAAAAATGCAATCCCTTTTGCATTCAGCTGAATATATTCCCAATGTATAAAGAAACCCTTAAAATCGAATAGAACGCAGTAGCTTTCTGATAGAGATTCCTTTCAAAGTGCTATAACACCAAATAAAAAAATCGCAACTGAATTAAGAAAATTTCGTATAGTTGAGCAATATGTAAGTGTTGGCAAACCTGTATTGAGGGCCGTAGCTGCTCCAAAGAGCCAGAGAAAAATGCCGGGAAAATTCATGACTCCAAACATAAATCCTCTAGTTACACATCACTGAAAACAACTCCACTGTAACGCACGGAAAATTGAGCCACTGTATCCACACTTTTAGCCGTTCCAGCTGAAAGTTCGGAAGTTGGAAAAAAAACGCGAATTGGTGCGTGGCTTACCGCTCCATTCAGTTGGAGATTCGAATTGTTATCAATGACATAAAGAGCCGCGGTGAGTTGAGAGCGTCTTCACGCTTGGATCATGATGAAAAGTGGGCGGGTCCGCACAACTCCGCCGATTGCAGGGCCCGAAACTCCGTGAAAAACTCGCGATCCGGCTGAGTTGGGCTCCGGGAGTTGGATAATTTCAGACCGAAAGCTCGCACAGAACTGAGTGAGATTCAAACGGGGCAAACAACAGCGTTGGCGCGGGGGCCCCACTACCTGCAGCAGGATGCCGCGCTTTTAAAGTTTCCTTCTTGCAGATCCTTCTTTTGACAACAGTGCCATTAATGTCGACACAAAGGGTTGAAAATGATAATTGCCACTGATTGTCAGCGACCGGCGTTTTGAATTTGCCCGATTTGTAGATGAAGATGTTTGAGTTCTATCGTGATTTTTAACGGCAATTTTTTGTCATCTGGATCAGTTAGGGTAATTCCGGGAGAGATGAACCACCGCCTGAGATGGACCAGTCGGGTATTTTCGACTCTACATGGTATAGGAAGAATATTTCAACGCTACCCCGTCAACAAACCACTACCAGTTGCACTCCGATAGTAGCTTTGTGTGTAGTTAATTTTCGGGAGTGGCTTTATTAGTTTCTGCATTTACACATGGTAGAAATTTGTTTAACGGTATTTTGAAGGTGCGATTCTAACTAAAAGACAGTTTTCAAATTCGATTTGTATTTAAAAATGCATTGAATGGTATCCACTCTGGACAACGTAAATGATGTAAAAGCCGATTAATACATAGATTTTTTGTTTTGGGTGGTCCGTCTATCCCTGAAATTTGGGATAGATGGACCAGAGTAAATCGGGACAGTTGAACCGGTTTTTATTTTTCTGTTTTATACAAT